GGTTGTTCTGTTGGGCACCCCCCCTCCCCCAAAATATCAGCACCTGTGCTATCAAGTACTCAAGATATATTGTGTCCCACTGGAGTCCCACTTTCCTTCAATCTTTAAAATACATTTTTTTAAGGAGTGGAAGGATGCAAATAGTAACATTTTTATTTCCCAATCCTGGAAACTCCACTTTCCTTTGAAACCTGAAGTGGAAATTCTTACACTGCACCTTCTCTGGCACCTAAGGTCATGGATGTATCCTTTGAGGAGTCTGGTCTTAATAAGGATCAAAAAGACAGGAAAGCAGAATCTTTGTTAAAATGTGTATGGGATATATCCAAACTTTAAGGTTCAGCCCTTGTTTCTACCTGTGTGGCAAAGAACTTGGATTGGGAGATCAGAGGTTAAATAAGCATACTTCAGTGGAAGAAATCCAGGAATCCTTCCCAGTGGTGGTCAATGGGAAGACCTGTCTAGCAGTTACAGCAGCCAAGTCTGTCACCGTTATGGATAAAGTTACTGCTCTTATCAGTTCAGCTGGAAGAGCTATTTGTCTCAAGATCTGGGAATGGGATTATGCTCTTTGGAATTCCCTTTGAGGGAAATTTGCTTTTTGGCAACTTACCTTGTAATCATAATACAAGAAAGATGTATGCAGTGGTATGGAAAACCTACATTATGTTATACTAAGCTGAACACAAATAACTCTCAGATACCTACTTTGTTAGACTTTCTCCAAAATGGATTTGAGACAAGGTTAGCACATAGTCCTTTCAAACTGCAATTAGCAGCTTTATCAGTATTCTTAGATGTCAGGTTAGCTAAAGATCCTCTGATTAAGAAATAGTGACGAGAGTATGCTGTATGCTTATGGTCTTGAAAACTATGGCTTCATGGGATTCATCGTTGGTTTTGAATGTTGTAATTAAAGATCAGAGTAAACCAATTTAGGACTTCTCACTCAGAAATTTTGCTTGGAAAACAACTTTCTTATTTGCCTTCACATCACCTAGAATGGTTAGCAATCTGCAAGTCCTTTCTTACAAAGACCCCTTTTTGACCATTCTATATGTCCATGTTATTTTAAAACCTGATACAATGTATCTTCCTAAAATAGATTAGAATAATGTTAAAAGCAGCGGTCTTAAATATAAAAAAGAAGACCTGGTCATCTGTAGGTTTTGTTTTGGGAACCTAATTGGGAGCATAAAACATCAAACAGTGCCATTGCTAGACAGATTAGTGACCTGATGGAACAAAGACCTCATGGACCCAAAGTAAAAGCACATTCCAGTAGATCTTGGTGAACCTTCTGGGCAACAAACAGGGGTGAACTGACAACTCATGGGGCCCCCGGGCAAAGGGGATCATGGGGCCCCTGTGTCCTTGCCCAAACTCAAAAAAGCCTATGAAAAAAAAGGTACCAGGGGCATCTCATGGGGGTCCCTCCTGACCCCGGGCCCTCGGACAGTGCCTGAGTTTCCAAATGGTCAGTCCGCCCCTGGCAACAAGATCGGAAACAAAGCCTTATGGATATATTACCCAGTAAAATGTGCACTATCAGAATTAGGTCTCTTGCAGACTGTAGTCCTACCTTAAGATATTTTATATATCTTGTAGATCCCCTCAGGTAGCTGTACTGAGACCAAGCCCAACCCACTGTAACCAGGTTTTTGATTCTCTGGTCAATAGGCAGCAGAGAAAAATTGGTAGTTACTACTTGTTGATGCTGTTCGATAATAAAGGGGTGCCACAAGGATGTGTGCTAAGCCCTTTGTTTCCCTTATATTCACTTGATTGTGTCTCTCATTTCAAAAAGGAATCTGTGCTAAGATATGCAGACGATACCAAGGTTGTTTGGAGGATTAGGGGTGGCAATGAGGCTGCATATCGGCACATAATAAAAAGCTTAGTGGGCTGGTGCAGATGGGATAATTTAGAGCTAAATGTGGACAAGACAAAGGAATGCATCTTAGATTTTAGGAGTACTAGGGAAAACAGTCATGAGCCAGTTGTGGATGGTAGGATGGAGGTTAAGAGTGTGCATTAGTTCTGCTTTTTGGCAACAATAATTAGGGAGGATTTGTCGTGAACAGAGCACGTATCCTGCCTGGTGGTCAAGGCTCATCATTTCTTGAGGAAGTTGTGAAAGGTGGGCTTTAAAGAGCAGGTTCTTGTCAGCTTCCATAAGGTTGCTATTGGAAGGGTGTTCATTTATCACATCTCTCTGTGGAGGGGTATGTGCAGTCCATGACATAAAGGCTTTACAAAAGGTAACTAAAACAGTGTAAAAGATTGGTAAAGGAGTGTATCTACCGAGTATTGAAGAAATGGATGAGGGTAGGTGTCTTCAGAGAGCTATCAATATTTTGTTAGATATTTCCCATGTAGGAAATGTTTGTTTATAATGCTACCTTCTGGTAGGCAATTTAGGAGCATTTCCTCTCGTACCATCAGGCTTCAAAAATAGTTTCTTACTCCAGTCTGTATGACTCTTGAATGCTCTAGGGGTCTTGGGGCTAAATTAGATTGTGTGGTGTGCATTTTTTATAGTATGTGTTTGTTTTCATGTAAATTGTGTTTTTATCTGAGGTATGTGATGTTTTTTTAATGTGATGGGGCTATATCTGTTTTTGTTATTTTTTTTATTGTAAAACAATTCTCATTCTGTATTGATATTGAGGAAAAACTACATTTAGACTTACCCATGGGCAGCTAATTCCCATTAAAGATTGAGAGTTTGCCCCCTAGAATGCAGGTTAGATACTGAAAGCTATTTAGTTGACTCTTCACACTTTGGTTCCTGCCAGGAACCAGTTAACACTTTCAACTCCTCTTCCTCTCTTTCTTCTCCCAAGAGATTAACCTATTACAGGATGGAGCGCAGAGCACACCCATATCTCACCAGTCCAATTGTGCCTCAACACCAACACTTGTTACATGGACTCTAATAGCACCTTAATAGCACCTAGGTACTGAATTAATCTGACATCTACACATACTTCAGGAAGCCTGCTTTACACTTGCTGTAAGGTGCTCCACGACCACCCATGCCTGGTCCCTAGATGGACCCTGTGCTGCAGCGGATCCCAGTATGGGATATCCAGCCGTGAGGTGAGGGACATAAAGCACACCTGTCCTCCTATCCCAACAAAGTTACCGTCACCCAACACTGTCACTTGATTCCACCTCCAGACTTGCTGTAATATCTGGTAGTGTGTCTCAACCTTGAAGGTTAAAGTGTGTTTAAATTCAAAGAATTTGAATTTCTCTTGTACTCTGTCCCTTCACAGAACAAGCCTGCTCAACCCACAGGGTTTCATGGCTTGACTCCCAGTATAAGGTTCACTAGATATACTAAGGTTACACCTTAGCTAGTAAAAGACATCCCTTACACCAACAACTTTTGGCTTAAGCAAAGTTCAGTTTTACTGTAAAGTTTGGGTTCTTCACATCACTTCACAATTCACAATTACAATGGACACTGGTTTACAAAAGAATTGCAAAGAAATTTTGGAGGTATATTGGCTGTTTGTGGGCTGTGCATTACAAGAGCTATCTGCCTATAGTGATGCATTAAATGGCATAGGTGCACTAAAAAATGTCAGTGCTGACCATATCTGAAATTGGAGAATGTCCATAGCAAAACGTCCTTAAAGAATAGGGGAAGTCCATAGCTTCTGGTCCCTGAGAATGTGCCCATTGAAGGAAGCAACAGAAATCACATCTGTACAGATCCTCTCAGCAGCACTTCCCACACCGTACTCCAACCCTCCAACCAGCCCTGGAATTGGCTTATCTTCAATATAAAGCCACAGTAATATTGGCTCACATACACAGGGCATGGCATGACTCAGCAACTATGCACCAGCCAGAAATTTAAAGTCGCAGTGCAAAAACATAACAGAATAACACACACATGCAGAAACCCATAAAAAAAAAAAAATGAGGCACCTGCATACAAACCAATATTGGTATTTCTATGAATATTCTAGACTAGCATCAATATTCCCAACTGTGATTTCTACTAAAACTGTATATTTGGTAACTATGGTTTCCCCTTGGGAACTTGGTTGATAGTTCGTACTTTTATTACAATAAGGACAAGAGAGGAGAGAGGTGTTTTAGACCATTTTTTTGGCTGGTGTTTTCTTCTAAAGGAGGAACCAATAATCTCCAGAATAGTTGTCCTGGAAGATGTGTGAAAATATTGTCAACAGTAAACTTACTGTAGGCTGCCCAGAGACTAGTTTTAAGTACACCTAAAGCCAGCACATGTATTTTTTTTTTTGTAGTTTTTTAGAAAGAATTTAAAAATAATAAAGCCCGGTCAGGTTTTCATTGCTGTCTATGTATCCACTGTGGAACTTCATCCTATTTCTCCTAGTGGCATGGGGCATGGGACATAGGACATTCAAACTATTATGGTAGTCACCAGGACATGGATAAAGGAGCCATCTTCCAGTTGGCACACTTGTTCTTGAGACAACAGTCTATAAAGGGCTTTATCCTTTATTTTGGAGGGATTTCCTCTCAATTCCTGTTGCATCTCTAGGATATGAAATGAAGGGAGATCTCTCCCTTGTTGAAAGAACCTCACAGGGGTTTTAACACATCTATACTTTATAAAAAGTATTTTGGCCTTATATATACTTCTTTAGGTGATTTAGCTGGTGTTTCTTCTAAAACCACACATTTGTGTGGCTGCAAAGTTTCCAACACATTGTGCTAAAAACATAAATGCATGTGCTTTGTGCTTACGCATCAGGATACACATGCATTAAAATTATGTAACTATGGTTAATATGTGGAAAAGAAATGTTTATTTTCTTAAAAACAGGCACTTTAAAAAGTTCATATTTGCATCTCAGAAAACAAACTTTTGTGAAATTATTGACTATGACCCTTGTTTGAAACTTATGCACTGGTGCCCTTTACTGACAGACAGTCTGTCATTGGTTATTATTTTGGACTTTACACTTTCAGGTCACTGTAGGTTTTCATTCTTTAAATTACTCACCTACAGAAAATGGTATAAAAGCTTCATTCTTAACAAAGTTTCCCTCCGAGTCCAGAAAATGCTGAGGGTAAAACTCTTCTGGCTTCTCAAAGTGCTCTTTGTCTCGTAGGACGGAATACAGTAATGGAATCACTTGAGTACCCTGCAAGGACACAGGCATAAGATGTTTGGATGAATCACAATGCACAGCAAATGGATGAAAGAAACTGAACTTTAGTGCAAACTAGTATGCATCTAAATGCAAGAGTGAGATGCCTTCAAGTTCCTTCACAGATACCTAGGACCTGGATTTTTACTCCTTATGACCTGCATTTGACTTTCTTCTGACCTGTCATTGGCCTCTTTCTGAGCTGAATCAATTTGCTTTTCTATTGACTTGTATGCCAACAAGTCACTTAACATACACTATATGATCAAAAGTTTGTGGACATCTGATAATCTCACATACTACAGTATATGGCAAATATGTGACTCCCCCTCCTGATTGAGTGCAGGTTTTTCCAATGAAGGTTATTATTATTATACAGGACTTATATAGCTCCGACAGTTTGCTCAGTGTTTTACATAATAGAGGGAGACATTACAGTAACAATACAGTTCAATACAAGAGGGATTAGAGGGCCCTGCTCCTTGGAGCTTACAATCTAGGAGGGAGGGGATAGTGGTACAAGAGGTAATCAGCTGTGGGGGATGGAGTGGTAGGAAGAGTAGAGGATTGCAATATTAGCTGGGGTCGGGGTAGGCTTCCCTGAAGAGATGGGTTTTCAGAGTGCGCCTGAAAGTGAAGAGAGTAGGCGATAGCCTGATAGATTGGGGTAGGGAGTTCCAGATGGGTGAAGCCCTTGAGAAGTCCTGGAGACGAGCATGGGAGGAGGAGACAAAGGAGCTAGAGAGTAGGAGGTCTTGCGAGGAGCGGAGAGTACGGTTTGGGTGGTATTTAGATACAAGGTTGGTGATGTAATTAGGGGCAGTGTTATGAACGGCTTTATACGTCAGTGTTAGTGTTTTGAATTTTATCCGCTGGGCAATTGGAAGCCAGTGGAGGGATTGGCAGAGAGGGGTGGCAGATACAGAGCGATTAGTAAGGTGAATTAGTCTGGCAGCAGCATTCATGATGGACTGGAGCGGGGATAGCCTGCGATGAGGTAGGCCAGTGAGGAGGGAGTTGCAGTAGTCAAGGCGTGATATAATAATTGCTAATGTTACAGCATACAAAGAAATAATAAACAACTGTGTGCTTCCAACCTTGTGATGACAGTTTTAGGACATGACTGCGCGCAAAACCAGTTCCAAAATTATATGGTTTAATACTTGGTGTGGTTTTTTGACCTGATGAACATGAGCCTTGACCTCAACCCTATTGAAAATCTTTGGATATACTCAAATGCCTATTGCATGCCAGACCTTCTCGTTCAACATCAGTACTAGACCTCACAAGTGCCTTTTTTACTAAATGGGCCGAATTCCCACAGACAAGCTTTACAGTGGAACTTGTTATAGTCCCAAAGTGTTGTTCAGTTGTGTATCAATGCTCATGGTTTTGGAATGGCATATTTAACAAACGTGTACTGTATATTGTAGGTGTGATGGTCAGGTGTCCACAAACTTTTAATCATATAGTGTAGCTTGTGATATTCTTATCAGCACTATACTGTATTGTGCATAAAGTAATGTCAACCCAGATTGCACCAAAATAGCTCAAAATCACAAATTCACACTACAAAAAGGTGAGACAGTATTTAAAGCACACTAAAAGAAAAAAAAAAAAATACAGGGACATGTTTCAGAGACCACAGATATACATATGGCATAGTGGTTGGAGAGTATGTGTGCAGTTTGACTGGGACATTTAAAAAAAAAAAAAAAAAAGGAGTATGATATTTCAAGGACTGCAACCATAAATATTGTATACACGGGCTGTAAACTGTGCAAGCATTTGTACTTGGCCACTATGTTAGAGAAAAAGATGAGGCATATGTTACGGTGAAAAATCAGTTTATTATGTAACAGTCAAGAGCCAGAAATATTTCAAGGACATGTTGCACATTATGTAAGTGTTTTTACTAGGCCAATATGGAACATACATACAGCTGTGTTCAAAATAATAGCAGTGTGTTGAAAAAAGTGAATAAAGCTCAAAATCCTTCTAATAGCTTTTATTTCCATACATGGAGTCAACCAACTTCTGGCACCTGTGAACAGGTATTCCAGCCCAGGATGATTGGACTACATTCCACAGTTCTTCTCTATTTCTTGGTTTTGCCTCAAAAACTGCATTTTTGATGTCACCCCACAAGTTTTCTATTGGATTAAGATCCGGGGATTGGGCTGGCCACTCCATAACGTCAATCTTGTTGGTCTGGAACCAAGATGTTGCACGTATACTGGTGTGTTTTAGTGTGTTTGTGGCTTGAATTCAGTGTTTGGGGGTCGCCTGACAAACTTTCTCCGGCCACTAGACCCAAAAAGAACAATCTTACTTTGATCAGTCCACAAAATGTTGTGCCATTTCTCTTTAGGCCAGTCAATGTGCTCTTTGGCAAATTGTAACCTCTTCAGCACATGTCTTTTTCAACAGTGGGACGCTGCGGGGGCTTCTTGCAGATAGCTTGGCTTCACATAGGCGTCTTCTAATTGTAACAGTACTCACAGGTAACTTTACACCTTCTTTGATCTTCCTGGAGCTGATTGCTGGCTGAGTCCTTACCATTTTGGCTATTCTATCCATTTGAATGGTAGTTTTTCGCTTTCGTCCACGTCTTTCAGGTTTTGGTTGCCATTTTAAAGCATTTGCGATCATTTTAGCTGAGCAGCCTATCATTTTCTGCACTTCTTTATATGTTTTCCCCTCTCCAATCAACTTTTTAATCAAGGTACGCTGTTCTTCTGAACACTGTCTGGAACGACCCATTTTCCTCAGAATTTCAGAGAGAAATGCACTGTAACCAGCATGTACAACATTTGCTGCCTTCCTTCCTTAAATAAGGGCAATAATTGCCACCTGTTTTTCAAAGAATGAATGACCTCACTAATAGAACTCCACACTGCTATTATTTTGAACATGCCCCTTTCAATTAGTGATTCATTTACACAGAATCAGCAGCATGCATGTCATGACTGTTGGGTCTGTTGGATTTCTATTACTCTACTACACCTGCTAGTAAATTATTTGCCATGTAGAAATATAATTTCTACCAAAAACAGTGATTGATCAGGTTAGTGATGTCTGACTGCTATTATTTTGAACACAACTGTAGATACCTGACAGGTGGTATATGTAACTTAAGTAAAGTGAAATTTTCTAGAGCAACTGGTAAGAAAATAGGAAATTATTTGTTGGACAGTACATACTCTTTTTTTTTTTTTAGCCAAGATGCTATATCAGAGGGAGAGAGCATGCAAATTTAATCTTCATAAAACAAATAACTGTATTTTTTCAAGACTGAACACCTCAAAATAGTACATATTCTCTGTAGATTTTTTAAGTCTTTTTGATAGTCATAGTCTGCTATTTCAGAGGTATAGAGGAAGCAGTTTTCTATTCTATTTCCTAAGATTAAAGACTTAAATTGTACAGATTAGTAGTACACCTTTTAAACCTCTCTTGAAAAGGCTGCATTTTCCTAGGGAGAAAGCAAGCACACTGTATGTGAAAATAAAAAAAAAATTTTTTTTTTTTTTTTATGAGACTAAGGAAGGAAATATTGTTACAGATTTGCACTACAGATCTTTATCCTGTATGGACAAGCTGCACTTTCTGCGTGACTGAGTGGGGATATTGCATCTATAAAATAAATAGTTTTCTTTTGTGGACCGAGGAAAGTAAAACTACAATTTAGCACCACAGCTATTAAGGGACAGGCAGAATTTTCATGCAAAGTAAACAGGCATATTGCATCTGGAAAGAAATAAAATACTGTCGATTTGTTTCAAATGTAAGTCTTTATTGGATTGGTCACAAATTCTGAGGGAGAGAGCAAGCACATCCCACGTGTATCCTAAAGAAGATCAAAAAAGACTAGACATTTAACCACAGATATCAAAGATATCAAGCATTTATGGGTAGGCTACAGTTTCTAAACAAACAAGCCTGAATTTTTCATCTAGAAAAAAAAAGTATTTTTTTTATACAACTGAAAATGTAAACATTGAGCAGAATTGCACCACACTTTTCAAGGCTTTATTGGAATAGGTCAATTTCTGAGGGAGAGAGTAAGCAGATTGCACGCACAAAGTAAAATTGACTTCCTTTTTCAGATTTGCTTTTAAGCTTTAAATCTTTTCAGGCAAGTAGCTTTTTCTGATGAAGAGCAAGTAGATTGCAGCTAAAACTAAGAAATAAATGTCATTTGTTTCCCCTAAGAATCAGTTAGTGTGGTACATGTTAACAAATTACCAACACAACTTTTAGCCCTGTTTGGACTGGCTGCTGTATGTCTGTCTGGCTACAAGAAGATTGCATATTCTAATAAAAATAATTATTTCTTCCCAGAAAAAAAAAGTAAAAAGCAATAAAAAAAAAATTGTAGCTAATCTTTTAATCACAGCTGGAAAAAAATTTATACCTTAGATTGTACACCCCTTGAGTGTTAGGCTCAGTTCACACTTGCTTTGTCAGCAGGCGTCAAGACAGGCATTTGGGAAGCGTTTGTAATGCTTCTCAAACACCTATGTAAATTCTGCACATGGCAGCACACAGTACTGTTCACATTGAAGCGTTAGCGTCACGTCGAAAAATTGACGCCTCATGTAGAGTCAGGAGGAGTTAAAGCCTCCCATTGAAGTCTATGGTGCCTCTCGTTTGGCGTTTGCGGTGCGGTTGTGACGTGGTTGCTAGGTGCTTGCGGAGCGTTAATACCATTTAACTTCATTATAGGCATTTGTGGTGCGGTTTTAACGCTTGGCAAAAGCCTATAAACCGCATCAAAACCGCGCATGGGGCTTTTGGGGACCGTTTGAGGAGCGCTAAAAACGCTTCCCAAACACCTGTCTAACGCCTGTAAAACGCTATAGGGGCGTTTGGCAAGAGTTAGAAATAAAGTCACCTGTGAACGAGCCCTTAGGGACTGATGTGAATATACAATATATATGTAAAGTGCTGCGTAAATTGATGGTGCTATATAAGTACCTGAAATAAATAAT